ATTGGACTGGACAAAGGGCTACCAACGCGACGTCGGAAGACCACACTGAGCTGCCATTGGGAGCACGGCCATAGCATGTGGTGTTTTCAACACAGGAATACCATACCCTACAACTTGGTGCTACTTGGAAGGTGGTGGTGGACGTCTTCCGGGAGAATCGGGTATAAGGCCTTGAGGTTGGGCTCAGAACGTTCTGACGGTTGTGGTCAACGCCGAATGACCAAATAGCGCTGCACACGGCAGACGCTCCGCGTGCTCACAGAGACAACATTAATTGCCGAACCCGAGGCCTCCGGATGTGAGTATGCCGTTGTGTGCATCCCACTCGAGTCTCCCACGACTTCGACCGGATTTACAACTCGAGATTCGCCTCCTCCGATGAACTTCCTTGTAGTCGGATGTCCTTGATCTGAGTCCCATTCAGTCACCCCCGAGTTCCTCGAGGCGCAAAGTTGTGCATCCATGGGCAGCATCAACACATACGCAGCACACCCTGGCCAACTAGTCTTGTGGGCCTGACCGCGCACACCCGTGCACGGCGCCCGTGCGTCCACTTCAACTCTGATCTCACGCATCGGCCTCAGCCCTCCCCCGACAGCTTACGCGGTGGCGCGGCGTTTCCAGATTGTGGTGGGGCGCGGTACGTCGGTCATGAGGGATTGAGTGCCGACGCCTTTTATGCGCACGTAGGAAGAGGACAGCCTCGCAGCAGCCCTGGCGTAGTCAGCGCCGTCGCCCTACTTATGTAAATGTACTCCGACAACGAGATAGTCGCCGTCTCCGTGCAATCGGCGGTGTCTTAAGCTTTGTTAGGCCACAGGTAAACATCCCGATAGATGTGTGTAGTTGAAGTGGGAGTAAACTTGTCGTCCATATGGTGCGCCATGGCTCTCCTATTCTTCCCACGTGCCCACAATATATAAGTACACACCACCTCCAGGGCGTCTCTCAACCACGAGTGCACCCTGGACCGCAGTGAGGTCCTCAGAACCCGTCGCCCAGATCCGGGCCATCGTCGTCCAAGTCGCCGCCCTCCTGGATCTCCTTCGCCAACTCCTTCTCACGCTCGCGTGCGCCTTCCGCGGCGGCGAGCTCCTTGCGATGAGCGTTGAGTGGGTATCGCATGGCCTGTGGGATGATGGTCAGTTCATTGGGGTCGTCCTGACAGAGGATCCATGGACAGAAGATGTGGGGCAACGGAAAAATGACATAACATATCAAACCGCGGGAAAGGAAATCTGAAGAGAAAGACTGAAGCCACTACGTCCGACGTAGACGGACGAAATGAGGGGACAGCGGCGAGGGCATTTGACAAGCCGCCAACATGGACGCGTCAAGTGGCGAGTTCGAGCCAACCACTCGTGGATCGTAGAGGGATAGTAGCGCGTTCGGCGTTCGCGTCTGCAGGTTCGTCACCTGGCAGATTGAACGGCATGGACAGCAACGGGAATGGAAGCTTGAAGGAAGACAGACGACAGAGCCTGATTGGATGCGTTTCCTGCGCTACCAATAGGCCGCTGTGTCCATCCTATGGAAGGTGGAATGCGGCGGTCGGGGTGCAGACAGCGTACGGAGCGCGGGAATACACCGGCAGCGCGAGGCAGAGGGAAGGCGAGGAAGGGCGCGAGCAATAACCACGCACTCACCTTGACACTCTGATTGTGCAACTCCAAGCAGTAGGCGATGCGGCGAGAGAACACGTCCGACACCTCAGGGCCATATCCGCTCTTCTGCCCACCGCACTCCATCCACCCCTTCTCGTGGACAATGCGGCCTTCGATGACGCCGTCGCGGATGGCCTTGCCCACAATGTACTCCGCATCCTCTTCCGAGTCGAGGTGGAGCTTGACGCAGATGTCCCTGAGCGAAATGCGCGAGTACGATAGCGAGAGTCGGCGTATACCGGTCTTGATGACGTTCTGACGCAGGCGGACGATGAGTGTGTAAGTCTTGTCTGATTCGAACTGGGCCGCGTATCGCGAGAGAGTGGCTTGGAATTGTGAAAGGGATCCATTGCGGACCGCTGTTCATAGGATTACGTCAAGACGAGACAGATGGAGCTGAGCGGGGAACAGACTAAACCTTTCACGATCTCAAAATACCCAGCCAGAGCCTTCACTAGAACGGGGTGTCGGAACAAACTACGTTCTGGAATGTCGCCCATGAGGAGTTCCACCACGATGGACAGCTTGTGGACGGCCTGGAAGAAACCAGGCGCAGTCTTGGCTGGTGGGGCCCGACGAATGGCCTGCTGAAGGTTTGTATGCGCTGCCGTGTAGTTGAGCTGGACCGCTTTGATGCGCCCGAGGTAGTAATGGTACCGCGCGTGCTGTGGGTTGCCGGCAGCTGCCGGGAACGATGTCTTTGACACGAGCTTGTCGGCTTGGTCGTACAGGCTGTACTGCAAGTAGCTCCGCAAGATCCTGTTGATGAGGGACGCCTCCGTTTCGTCATCGTGACGCAGGGCAGCCGTCCGTTGTGCCGCAAGGAACATACTATGTGGTGCATGCGTCAACATGTGTGCTCCAGTGGAGAACATATGTGGAACTCACGGACGAGCGTCTGCTAACTCCCCACCAAGCTCATATGTGCGTTCCACCGCGTACCACACCTTCGCCGCGATAGGGTCCATGCTTCGGCGGTTCAACGCTTGCATCTTCTCCACGGTCTCGTGGGCCAGCTTGGCGGCTTTTGCGTAGTTGTCGGATGAGGTGAGAAGATAGTGGATGATGAGCAGTCGGAAGTAAACTTCGACCTCGGGGACAGGTTCAGGCTGGGATTGTTTGGCAGTAGGTGCAGGGTCGATGTCCATGGAATGATCCGCAGCGCCGGGTGATAGCCATGACAGCAAAGCAGTCTTGGAGGCAGATTCTGAGGGCAGGATGTGGTCAGACCATGGGGTTGGGGCGCAGGGATGCTGGAGAGCAGACTTACCGTTGGTATATACTTCCAAAGTTGCATCCTTCAAAACCTTTTCATCCAGCTTCTTTCTGAGATGGGCCAGTGACCTCAGGACGCGATGCGTGAAGCGAGGTTCGAGCGTCGAAACCGCCCCCTCGATGAGCACGACGTTAGCCTTGATTTCAGCCACAGGCGTGAGCGGCACAGGCTTCTTCTCCTCTTCGGCTGGCTTCTCCTCCTTCTTCTCTTTCTTGCCGTCAGCAGCCTTCATTTCAACGTCGGCCATGGTTGGTTGTCGAGAGCGACAAGAGTTCGCGGAACGGAGTAGTGGAGGAGGATGGATGTGGAGAAGGACAGTGCTCACGGGATGACGCGTCTCGCCTCTCGACGCGCGTCGATCTCAAGCGCCTATCTACGCGTTTTGAATACGTCGTTTTCCAGGTTAGAGCTCATTTAAACTCCGAAAGGGTGGATAACAGATCGCCAGTCGTGGCGCTAATGTCCACTGCTTCGCCGGGGTGCGGGACAGTGACTTCGGACTAGCAGCACTCATGTCGTTCCTAGCCCGCCTCTTTCGTCGTGTCAAGGGCCCTGTACGTTCAAGTCCCTGGTGAATTTTCCCAAGAGCTTACGAGGTTGGCAGACTGGTTTTGTCGGCAGGGATCTTGAAGGTGCGTCCCAAGCATTATGACCCAGTTCTCTTCTCATGTGGCATTGGTTGTAGGGAATAGATACTTTGAGTACGCTAGCACCTCCGATGGTGAGCATCAGATAATCCCGTCTTCTATATGCGTAACCGACGGTATGCGTGGTAGACCCACGTAGAACAAAACGTGTTGTGAAGTATGCGAAGGGTGCTGACATGCTGGAATATGTCGGGGGAAACAGACGGTTGGCAGGTGCGTCGCTATTCCACTTCACGCGTTCAATCCTCACTCTATGCCAGTGCAATGGCTGTCATGGATGACCCATACCAGACCGCATCCACCTTCGCTGGAGGTATGTCGTGCGCTCTTTTGATACCCGTGGCAGCCACTGAAGCATCGCAGGAACTGCAAGCCGATGTCGAACGCCAACGACGGATTCTCAACAACGTGGCGATGATAGAAGCCCGTGAGAAGGCTCATGCGGCTCGAGTCGCCATTTCAGAAGCGCAACATACGCAAGCTCAGGCGCCTGCTTCATCACCCAGGCTCCCGGACCCTATGCATGAACGGGCAAACGAATGCAGCTCGAACGCCTCGGATACTGCCGCAGAACGCGTACCATTTGCCCCGCCAAGAAAGGAACCTCCTTCACCCTGGAAGCCACCACCGCCTGACGAACCTCAGAGCTGGACTCCTCGCAGTGCTGTTCGTCGAGGTGGATGATCATGACGGCAGTCAGGGATGCCATTGATATCGTGTATCGACGTTGCTACCTATCCTATGAATGCTAATGTTCATGTTTCTGGGAACTCCCCGTCAAACTCGGGATACATTGCTGTGCATAGACCTGTGAGACTTTCGAAAAACGGCGATAGCTAGAATCCGCGAGGAAGTAATACGGCCTGTGTAGCAAGACATACACTTTGCCTCCATCAGTGGATCGTCATTGGGCAAGGGGCACAGGATTGCTCCGGCAAACCAGTTCTGATCTCTGGGCGATGCATATGTAGTCAGTGTTGGAGAAGCGGCACCGGAGCGCCGGAAGCGGGCCTCAGGCCCAGTGAGAACGCCCCCTATCCGGAGCTATCTGGAGCTATCTCAACGACCCAGATTGCTGGGGATAGGTCGATATTGCTGAATGCCTCATTGCGTAGGTTTTCATAAATGTCCGCCTATCCCCATCTATCCGCAACGATTGACACGCCACTGACAATTATGGGGATAGATGCCACCTATTGCCATCTGTCCCTAGCTATCGACGGGCCTTTTCAACGAAACCACGTGCAACAAGGGCCCGATATATCTGCACATATCTGCACCAATTCATTGACGTTTGATATCGTACACGTGCGCCGTCCGACCACCTCCCTCGCGCCCTCGCCATCGCCCACACACCCTCGCCTTCTCTGCCCGCGCGTCCAACCTCCCCGTCCCGCTTCGCGCACTGGCACATCATGATTTGATGGGCGATGCCGTGCTCCCAACCAAGATGTACTTCTCTACGGCGCACCCGACGGCCTCGACCTCGCCTCGTTCCAGTCCGTCTCGGCGAACACGCGTCCTGAGGCATCGCCCGGGGTGAGCACTGGCGGCGCACGGCCTCATGACGACGACGCGCTGGAGGTGCAGGCCGGCGTGCGCAGCAGCGGAGGCTAGGATGCCGGTCATGCCGGCAACGGCGGGTGTGATAAGCTTCGCGAGGTCGTCGGCGTGGAAGTGGAAGGGGGAGGCGGTGTGGAGGACGGCGTCGTCGAACGCGCCCGGCTGGGTTGGTGTCGGCGTGGGTCTGGGGCGTGTCAGGGAGAGGGGCGACAGGGGGAGGGAGGCGGGGGACGCACGACGGTGATGTCCTCGACGACGACGAGCTCGAGCTTGTCGCCTGCGTCTGCGAAGACCATGTGGAGGAGAGCGCCCTTGCTCTCCGCGTGGACTGTGCAGCAAATGGCGTCGTTCCAGGATCAGCGGGGGGTGTCGCGGGCTCGACAAGTGGCGTTATGGGGTTAATGAGCCACTGGTGGGGGCGTTCCGGGCCCTCAGTTCCCTGCAGCTAGAAGGCAGCTAGAGGTACTAGCTAAAACGGCTCACCAGATTGAGGGCCTACAAGGTCTGATGTTCTGTCGAAAGATACGAAACTGAACGCGATGAGGGGCACATATAGTCGGCATAAACTCACCTGAGGTTGTCGTGCACCCAGTCCCTGTGAGAATTGCGACCAACCAGTCAGCGACCGAGGTGAGGACGAAAACAGGGGATAGAGGGAGCACGGGACTGTGAGTGCAAGACGGCTGGGTGCGGGCGCGAGCAACTAAGCGCGGTGCAATAGAGCGACAGGCCACGCGCGCGAGGACGTAGCGTGACCGCGCGATGTGGGGTGGAGATGTAGGGCAGCAACGAAAGGTGCGCGATAGCGGCTTCGAGATCGCAGGAGGGCAGTGACGGATGTAGGGGCGTAACGGACGGGATATTAATGGGCAAAGGAAGGGAGGACACCGAAATAAGAATGAAAAGCGTACTTAAAGAAACCGACTGACTCCGACGTCTCCAAGTGCGGGCTGTCTACGACCGCTCCATACCATAAATGAAAGCACTCACTGACAAATCCCAATCACTAAGCCTATGCACTAATAGTTGAAGGCCCTATGGTGCAATGAATCTGGAGATGCAGCAATACGTCAGAGAGTGAAATATTTGAGCGCATATACCCACTCAGGGACCGGCTTGACCGAAGGAATCTTGTTGACGCTTGGTAGGTAGAGGAAGAAGAAAGGGAAGAAGATACCATGGGTTATGAGAGGCAACGGTATGAAGGGGATGTCTCTGGTTGCATAGGGGGCCGGCAGAGGGAAGGTGGTGGATATGGGAGAAGAGAGAAATGTCGCGGCCTCCGCGCGGGCGGCGCGGTCCCAGTGGGCGTCACGTGCTCTGATGCGACACATCATGTCACGCCCTCCGATCTCCCGAGTCCCCGTTACAACTTACGCTCGTCGTACCTACACCACGGCAGGCACTCACAGCGCATGAGCGCAGTGAAGGCTGGGGGCGTCCAGCTCGCGCAGGAGCTCGCGGAGGCGTGAAAATCGAGTGCGTGCCACTGTTGATGCTGTAGTAAGTGTACTAACTCTTGCAATCAAGCACAGATGAGACGACAATGGCTCGTCCCTTCGGCTGAATAAAATCCATACAAATGGTGAGGATATCGGAGACGTTGTCGGGCAAGGGGCACTGCAACATGATACGCATTGGTGAGTCTCCAAGGAAGAATTCCGGCCGAGACACATCGAAAAAGATCATGTGACCGCGAGAGCCGCCCGCCTGGACGGCGGACAGACAAGAGAGAAATGTGCGAGCGCACAACAGCTCACTCCAAAATCACAATTCGCGAAGGCACGCTTGTGCTTTGTGAGAATTGTTCTACATGTCAATGCGTCAAACTCTCGAGAGCACTGGCGCTAAATGTCAGACCAATTGGTCAAGATAGGTGGGGATATCTACATATAGCTCCATATAGCTCCGGATAGGGAGCGTTCTCACTGGGCCTCAGGCCTCATGGCCTGAACGAAGACTGCCATGGCCTCCCTCCGGACATCGCGCACCGCTCTTGCGCTCTCTCCCCCTTCGCTCTCTCTCCGGGCCGATGCTTCGACCCACTGGCTGTGATGTCGTCTGTGCATCCCCGTTCTCTTGCCCTCATTCTGGCAGCTTGCAAGCACTGGTCCTCTCCACTCAAACGACTTCTACAACTTTGGCGTTACCTCAAACAGTTGTTGCGCGTCTGGAACTTCGTCGCCAGACTTCGTAGACCTCGTGGTGGTGGTGGTGGATCATGTGGTGGGGAGAATCAGGTCGCAGGGGTTGAGGACATTCCGGTGCAAGGTGCGTCCTCCTACAGTCCACACCGTCCAGTGTTTGATTCGTCCCTCGTAGGCACACGCTGCACGGAAGTTGTGAGGTTAGGATCTTCCGTCCCGCATCCAGAAGCCGTCACCATCTGCGAGAGTAGAAGACCGCTCTCGGCCCTCGACCTTCACCTCGATGTCCCCGGACATGCCCACTTCCTCCAACCAGGCGACCTCCCCAGTCGCCCACAGTCGCTCGTTCTCCCCGGCCGTCCTCCCGCCGCACGGAGCGAACTACTGCGTCCCTACTCCCACTCAACCGGTTCGGGCTCCAATATCTCAGTCAGCATAAGGTCTACCGGTTCTCCTGCCCGCAGAGGCAGGCACTTCGAAGTTGCTCATCCCCGGCCTGACGCCATCCCCAACTCTCGCGCCGCGGCTCGTGGAATAACGCGTGTAGCGTCTCGTGCGCCGTCAAGAGCAACTTCAGCCTCGAGACGCTCCAGAGCTGCTTCGCGTACGCCCGCGCGTTCTGTCATCGAACTTCCCATTCCATTGCCTCTGCCCGCATCCGCGCCAACGAAGTCGACCACTCCAAGTCTGCGTACTATGTCGGTTTCCGAGGCCCCTACACCCGAGATTATCATCGCCACCCCACCTATCCGCCAGGAGTTATACCCGGTTACGGAAATACCCCGCTATGATAGCTATGCAACTATCTCACCTGCTCGAGGTGACTGGGTTTTGACCCCCGTTACGACTGATTTTCCTATGTGGGTTTCTCGGTGTTATCGAGATCGTCCCAAGTCTCATGCATTTAGCAGAGACAACGTGCCCGCAGGGTGGAAAGCAGTGACCCACCCGGAGGGACGACTGTATTTCTATGATGACCGCCGAGTAAGTGCATACCTGCTGCATAATTGGCGTATTCTGATCAGAATTAGCGCATATTCACAGACAACGATGTTAGAGAGCCTGGTATTGCGGCCATGCTGGACACCTTCGCCCGGCAGCTCGATGAGATGATACTTGAGCAAAGCCTCGAGCTTCCTGCCAACCACGAGTTGGTGCTCTTTCTCGAACCGAGAAAGTCTGCGCCTGGGGTGTTCAACTGGTGCTACTACTTCGTGGACCACTCCACGAGAACCCTGTTTTGGATTCATGAATGCGACCCCGTCGAGACCTTGGACATCAGAGAGGTTATCGCCCTCAAGGCGCCGTATGACATTCGTGAGTGAGCTCTGATCAATTCGTTGACCCGGCTCACTTTAGGATGTAGGTCATGAGATTCAGTCAAAATACTGGTACGGATAGCAATTGCAATCTTCCTTCGATGGCTCACAAGGGCTTCACAGGATGCACATTGAAATGTACCCTCATCAACGTCATATTACTCCTGATGTCTACACCGAATTGACGGGCATGTTGACCTTCGCTAGCATGGGTATGTGCCCAGTAATCAAGTATATCGATTATTCTGACCATTCCGCATGTAGACAGTACCACGTCAATGACATCTACAGTTGCTTACCGCGGTGACGATGTTCATCGTATGATTACTTTGGTGAAGGTTGCTAAAAGTGGGCGAAGAGCCTTAGACTCGAAGGGATAAAACTGACGAAGACTTCTAGGTGTGGATGGAACCGACTACGCAACAGCTGTCATCGGCCGGCTTATGTGCACATGGAGTATGTCGTCAGCCTCCTCCCTGAAAACGGCGAGCTAATTCACGTCTGACAGCACACTACCGTTTCTTCAACTTCTATGGGCAAACCCACGCCCGTCTAAATCGCGATCAGAGTGTGTACCACGGGGTCAAGAAGCGGCGAACTCTCCTCATCAGATTCTTCGCTCCCTTTTTCTGGAATGCACCACACGTGCACTTGCGCAGCCTCGAGAAGATTTACATTGACGAAGTCATCACAATCATCCCATGGGGTGGTTTCATCAGCAAGCTTCAAAACGAGTGGCAGGAGTTCGTCCTCTACGTATGTCGTCCTCCGTCGACATGGATGACCTCGTCCGATGCTAAGCCTATACTTCTTTATAACTAGGCAACGGTGTTGCTTAACGCCAACGTCGCGTTCCTGGCCATCCCCAGTGTCGACACTGGCAGTCTCGATCACGTCACTCCGGCCCAGATTAGCAGTTTCCTGTCAATTGTCACAAGTGTCGGGAGCATCCTGCTCGGGCTGCTCCTTATCCGCCAACACCGCGTCAAGTCCAAGGACACGGCAGAGGAAGCACACCGGTTCCTCCGATCACGCAAGCACAAGGGTCTCGGTCTTGAGACACTCGCTATCATCTACAGCCTACCCTATGCGCTCCTCATGTGGGGGTACGTCTTCGTGTTGTTATGAGACAGTCACGCGACACTGACGCGCGTACAGGATGATCACCTTCCTCCTCGCCTTCTCCTTCGAATGCTTCAGCGTTCAAACACACTCCTCCCTCTTCCTCACAGGCGCCGGCTGGGTCATCATCGGCCTCCTCGTCTGTTGGACCATTATCACCGGCTGGGAGAGCGGCGAGACATCGCGTTGGGCGGTCTACAAGGAACGTTTCAGGATGTTCTTCTCCAAGGACGATGAGGACGAGGACGACGGCGCGTCGGAGAAAGAAGGCGGCTCGGCGGCACCAAGTGAAAAACGGAGCTCGGTGAGCGACAAGCGGCAGTGGTGGTCCCGTGTGCGGCGTTCCCTCCGGCACTCGCTGGACTTCGCGCGGTTGAACGACACACCGTTGCCGGCGGTGCGCTCAAGACCACCCTCGATGCACGTATAGGGTCCCGTCCTTGTACAGGTGAGCGACGGTGGCGGAGTTAAGGCGCAGCGTACTCGAGCTGATCAATTCGCCGTGTCATATCAGATTAAACGGTGTAGCTTTTTGGCGCTGTCCCCGCTAGTGTAGCCCTATGCCCTAGAATTCATGACTTCCATCTCGACTGCAGAATCCTTGCCAAAGCGCCAATGACCGCATTGCATACACGCCCAGGGTGCGTGTGGACCCGCGTCACAGCACGGGCCTTCGGGATTAGGAGGTCGACAAGCGCTGAAGTGGAAAACCCGGCTTCATCAACTCAATCTGCCAGTGGAAGCGCGCAAGTAAACCACCCAGTCTATGATAACAAGGCTAGCACGTTGGAGAGCAGCCTTTCATCCAGAAAATACACCAAGGCCCTCGGCTCTGGCGTTTTCAGGAAGGTGCACTCAGAAAGGGCTCGAGGGCGCTTGGACCTCGGGACAAGCCGGCGTCTCTCACCGCGTTCCCTGTGCGCGCCGCTTGCAGCAGCCTCCACGCCGCAGCAGTTCACAGGTGACCGGCGTGGCCATGCAATGTCTCGGCGAGGATCCTGGGCGTGACTGATCGGTCTTGTGCGGTTTAGACGCAGTATCCAGTGGTCTCCGTGTACCTGCATAGGACCGCATTGTCTGAGCTCCGCACATTGAGTGGCCGAGGCGGGTGCGCTGCGGGCTTCGAGCCAGTGAAGTGCACGGTTTCTTGGCCGAGGTAGCGGTGGTCGAGGTGGGTCGAAGAAACCCGCGTTAGGTTTCATTTCCAGGGAAGCCGAGAACTGCATGCCAGCTATGTGGGAGCGCCGCAGCACGGGCTCCCCTGTTCGCCGAAGCGGGTACAGCGGTGGCCGAGACGAGGACCTCCCATCTTCACGCGGCCATCGGAAATGTAGCTACGGGAATGTGCGCGGTGATTCTTCCGCCCGCCCTAGAAGGTCGCGGACTTCGTACTAATATCATGGGGATAAGCTTCGAAATTCGAGAGGAGGTGACCACACGGCTGAAACGTTGTGTCAGCGCAAGCACCCGACGGCCACGTCTATGCTATGCAGCAATGCGTCTGTCTGTGTACGTGTACTTCGCTGCCGGTGAACGATCACCGGAGGCACTGCGCTGGATCGGCTGCTACTTTGCCGAGGACGAATCCAGCTCAGGTAACTGGCGCATCGAGCCATTAGAGTCAACTATGGCGATTGTGCACGGCCACTGCGTTCTGCGGGTGCTGTAATATTACGAGGGACTTAGCGTCACCGCGCATCGAGGCACGAACGCGCAAGCGTGACATTGCTGAGGATATTTTACTGA